GCGAACTCATCGGATAAACGTGCCCGGAATCCGAGATTCCGCGGAAAAATCCTCGCCGCGTCCGGCGACGAGATGGCTTCGTCGAAGGGGCTTGTCTGTCGGGACTCGCGAGATCTCTTTGAATAATCCAGGTCGAATCGAGAATCGGAATTAGAATTTCCCCTGGGAAGGACGCCGCCCCGGGTAGTCGCGACTTCCGCTTAATAATTGGGGTAAAAATAGTGGAGAACGTTAGTCGCAGGGACGACGCTCGCGGGTCGTCCAGGACCGAGATTCCGCTGCGAGATGACCGCAAATTACGCGGGGCGACTCGAATTCCCAGACCGAGACAGGAAACCCGTAAACGCAGGAGACGCACGCGTGGGCGACGACCAGGGTTGGCCGCGTTCGCGCGGTAAAAAGGCAGGGGAAAAAGAAAAATGAAGGGAGAAAAGCTCCAAGGAGCGGCCTACATTTTTCTTCCGCCACTCCCGGCTCTGCTTTTAACCCTTCGTTCTCGCAGCAGCAATTATACGGTTTTACGAGGGCGGGGAACAAGGTCTCGTTCCGGAGGTGCGCCACGTCCCGATAATAAGGGAACGAACGGCATCGCGACGGACTGCGGCCCGTGATTAGAATACGGCCTGACGACCGAAGTTATCGAGACGATCTGGCGGCGCGGAAATTAAAGTTCCTTTCGGGCGAGGCCGTTGCGAACAAAGGGGCCCCGGAGTGGATCCGAGCGCGCGGTCCCGAGGGACGACGAACTTCGCGATCGAGGAGCCCCCGAAGGACCCTCGTCCTCGTTTCGCGACTTCGTCCCCGGGGACCGGCGGGTCCCGTTTCGAGGAAGCTCGGATGTACGCCGAATCGCGACCGCCCCCTGGGCTTCCGTTCTCGAGTTCATCCGGATTCTTTTCACATACGAATGTATTCGCAGAAAAGAAAAATTTGCATCGTTGCGATATCGCGTCATTGGTCAACATTTGAAAGTCGTACGCGAAACCGTCGATTTCGCATGCGAAAGCTGATCGGATGAACTCGAGAATCGGGTCCCTGAAGACCTCCCCCACTGGCTCGCTGACGAGGGGGCGAAGACACCTTTCCGAGGGAACCCCGGAAATTGAAACGCTCTTTGGCTCACGCGTGAGTCTCCGCTCTCGGGGGATGCTCCAGTTAACGATATTTTAATGATATACCAGGACGTCGCGACCGAAGGCCGTAATTACGCGGCGCGGCGTCGGAGAGTACCCCGGGGACGAAAGGGCGTGGGAGAGGTCTTTAAATTCTCTCGCGTGCCCCCGGACAGTTCGGGGTGGAAAATGAGGCGGCTTTTAATTCGTCGAGTGGAGTCTCCGCGATCGAAACCGCCGGGGAATCGTTCCAACGCGTACTCCGACCGACCGGGGCGCGACAGAGGACACCCGCGGTACGTAAAGACTTCGGATAATCGATCCCGCGGCCGTTCGGAAATTCGAACGTGCGGTTAATCGGGGTTTGGATAATCGGGGCCTCACCGCGCTCCCTGCGGCTGCGGTCGGGAACTGGTGTTAACTCGACGACGGGTTTCCACCTCTGCCTCTGCGGACGCGCTCCCGTTCGTTAGCGGCATTTTTTCTCGCGGCCTCTTTTCGCCGCGCGTACTCCGCGCGGTGCTTAATTCTCGAAATTGAAATCTCTTTCACCGAACGAGGGAGCGGGGCGATCGGCCGGTCCCGGAGCCGTCCTCCGAGAATTCCCTCGCGGAGTCCGCGTCTACTCGCCGAGGACGCGAAACGAAATAAACTACCGCACAAAATAAACCGATACGCAGCGGCGGCGGCGTCGAGCGGCACGAGGCTTTAATTAATTTGACTTCGTTAAACGCCCGGAGGCAGGGCGACGTCCTCCGTCGGGAAGTCCGGAACGGATGAATAAACCCGCGGAGAAGACGGAATCCGGATCGAAGGTCTCCCCTTTCGGGCCGGCGACGCCTCTCGCGCCTCCCCCGACGTCTCACCGGCGCGCTCGAGTGGCCCCTCTCGGGGGAACACCTGTAAGCTTCGGGACAAACTTTGCCTCGCACTCGGCCGCTCATTAGCCTCGCGAGGGTTCTTTGTGCGAAGTATCGCTTTTCCTTAAACGTCACCCGCTGCTTTCCGCGAGTCGCGGGGGCGCGGCGTTCGACGCCGTCGAGGGCGAAGGACCCTCTAGATTTTGCCGATGCGTCGACTCGAGGCCTCGCAACGGGTCGCCCTTTCTTCGATGCGCTTTGAATCGACTCACGATTCCGCGACCGAGGGATCCTCGAACAGTGGAATTAACGTAGAAATCGCGGGGGGTCCGGGCGTCCTCCCGATGGCGACGGCGCCGACGACGCGACCTCGACGTCAGGAAACGAAATTCCCTCGGCCCTCCGGACGCGTTTCCTATTTCCCCGCTTTCCCCGGCTCACGAGCCTCTCCTATTCGCTGCCATAATGAATCGAATTCCCTGGTCCCCTCCCCGCCAGGCGGGGCTGGTCGGAAAAATGGCATTATTTCGTCACCGCGAGTATTCCCAGGCGACTCCGACGCGCTACTCGTCGCGTCGGAACCGGGTTAAATGCAAACTAGCGCGACCGTGTTTTCGGGACCGCTGTGACATCGTTCCGCCCCGAAATAATTCGACCGACCGCATCGTGGCGATAACGAGCTCGTGGGCGATATCCGACGCGACGGCTCCATGCGAGTCAATGGGGTTTTTGAGACGGGACCGAAAAAACGCGACAAACGTTCCGGCGAGGAGGAGGCCTCGAGTATTTTCCCACTTTACGGTCCGCGATGGCCCGCTCCGCGCGGAGGAAGAGGATTCGCGAAGAGACGCGGATGCGGATGCATATGCAGAGGCGGGTCGCCGGGTGCACCCGTTCCCTCGGCTCGCGAAACGACCCAAAAGCGCCACCGACGCTTCCGATAATGCTCACCAACCGACGACACCTTTGTTTCTGCCCGCTCGTTGCAGCTGCACCGCTGAAAGTGCAACGCTTATTAGGATTCCTCCCTCCCCGCCCACCCTTTCCCTCCACCCGCCTCTTTCTCCGTGCCTTTGGGTCCCGATATGGTGGCGTTTTCGCGAACGCGGCCTGTCCGCCGCGTGCAGGACGGCGCCGATCGGGGGAACGATGCCTCGTTCTGAGAAAAAATTGCCGTTCCACGACGTCAGGGCCGACATACGTTATCACCAAGACATGCCCGACCTTTGGCAGGCAGGATGGTCGAAGAAGCTTCCCGGGGAAACGCGGTTCACGAAGGAGAACATCTCGGTCAAAGGACCGAAAATACTCATACCGCGGGCGCGTCGAGCACCGCCCCGTCCTCGTATTCCACGCCGTGCTCCGGGACGTACGTACCGGACGATACTCGTCAGCCGCGAATACCTTCTCCGGTAGTACCTTAAAGCCTCCTCGAGGCAATAACGTCTCCGGCAAGATATCCCTGGACGACGACTATTAACCCGGTCCTCGGTGCAGTCCGAGCCGCGTTCCGTGCCCTTACCTCGGACCCTTCGCCCCGGGGCCGCGTTTATTTCCAATGCAATTTCCGGCTTATCCGTCTCGGAACTACCAGCTACGATAGTATTTTCGTTGCGGCAATCTTCGCGAGGAGAACAACGGACGTCCTTGTCCTCGATCTCTCGCGGAGACGCCCGTTACTTCGACCCGGAGCTCCCGGGCACCGGGAATGGAACCGTGGAATGCTTCCTCGCGATGGTCCGTTTCCGTCGCACGAGCGATCGGCGAATACAAGGGGGATCGAAAAGCGGAGTAATCGGTACGTACGGGGGCGCGCGCGATAATCCCCTTATCCGGGCGTTCTTGGGGTGAAAAATGAAGCGACGGTGCATTTAAGCCGTCCTTTGTCGGATCTCTTCATCGATAACGCTATTTCCTCCTCGGAGTGGCGCGGGAGGTCGAATTTCGCGCACGACCCCGGAGCGAGCTTTCAGCCCTCTCCGCACCTTTTCAGGCTCCACTCGGAGGAACACTCGCTCTCTCCCCCTAGGAGGGCACCTTCTCTCAAGTTTTTCTTTTCCGGCCGCTCGAAGACTTCCGGCCCTCCTCGGCCAACTTCCGACCCGGTCGTTCCGTCCGCCCGAACGACGAGACGAATATTATTCCCGGACCCCGGCTCAATCCCTTTGTCCGGGGAGATACCGCACGGAAAATAGCTACCTCCCTGATAAAGACAGCTTTTCGAGGGGCCGCGGGGGAGTTCGCAAACAAATTTAGGAGGGTAATGCCGGCTGGAACGGGTTAATCTCGAAATCCCTCCGCGATCAATTTACGCGGCTAAGTTCTCGGCGCGAGGGCCGAGGAACTTACGGACGAAAAGAGACGGAGCGCTCGCGGAGGCACTTACTTTGTCGAGAAGGATTATACTCGATCCCGGAATCTGCTCGGCGTTGTGCCCTCCTCTTTTTCCTCCCTTCGCCCTTCCACGGTCGAACGATTGGCGTGGCGCTCGAGAGCGCTCACGAGTCGACGTGGGAAATTAGGGAAGTGGAGGAATTAAGGATCTTCTTCGATACGTCGACGCGGAAACGCGCGGCCTGGCCGCGGTCCAATTCGCTTCGTTTGCGTGTCCCCACCGGTGAATCGGATATCGATTCGTGGACTCTTCGAATTCCGCGCGGCAAAGAACGGATACCGAGGGCCGATCGACTGCCGATCGCGATTCGATCGAACCTGTACCAATATTGGACCCTCCCCGAGTCCCGCGACGTTGATTTCCCGCGAATGCGCGACCGCGCCTTCCATTCGCCTCGACGAAGCCTTCGAGGAGCATATTTGGGAGGTACGCTTTCAGGGTACACATCGCGAGAAACGTGGGTACGCTTCTGCCGGAAAGAGGTTCGAGAGACATCTCGAGCGAGATATCGGTCCGATCGAGAGCTCGCAACCACGGAATCCGGCGTTTCCCTTGGCCAAAAACTACCCCCGATCCACCGGATAGAGTCCGAACGGAGCCAACGTAAATTCGTGAATGCAATGTCTGTTTCAGAGGGAACGGCGCGCGGGTCCCGTCACTTCAGAACGGAATTCCTCCAGGAGAAACCGACCCCGGATTCCGGGCCGTACTTCGACGCCACCGGACCCTCGCACGTCGTGGGCCTGGTGGGCAAGACCGTCCACCTCCTCTGCAGGGTCAAGAACGCGGGGAATCGCACCGTAAGTCGGAGACTTCGTTTCCCGATAACGCGCGCACGATGGGAAAACTAAGGGATTACCTCACCTCGGGACCGACCCCGTTGCCGTTCCTTTCCCGGCGGCGGAACCGCGAGCGGAAATGGTTTTAATCCCCCGGCTAGTTCGCATGCAAAGCCGGACTCGCGAGCTCTCCGGTCGAACCTCGGGCATGTACGCCGCTTAATATGTTTCGTTGATACATTTGCTCGAGGGTGGCCGTGCCGTTATGAATAAAATTGAGATTCCTCGGCGGAGAAGCGACCCGTCTTCCGCGTTAACCGGAGCGCCGGACGTGCGCTCGGAGGGGAGACGCGAGTCCGTCGAGGAGGCTGAGGAAAAATGTCCGAGGAGGGCGTTTAAAAATTCACCAAATTCTGGACTCGCGTTTCGTCCCGCCTCGACCTCGTCTCTTCTACGTCCGACGTCTCTCTTTTCCCCGGGCTCGAGCCGAACAGCGGCGGAGAATTCGGGACGAAAATTTTCTCCGGTCTCCCGCGAGGATTCTTTTATGTATTCGTCTTCAACGGAGTCGACCGTACGAGTCTCCGCATCGCGGAGGATCGGCGCGAACGCGGAGGCGACGCGAGGCGATTCCAATGGAACCGTCGCAATTGAGCGGGGCGGAATTCGGGGCGTTTCGCGAGCGTCGAGAGCGGGGGCAATTTTGGAAAATGTGCATCCTTCCACGGGAATCCGGCGAATTCATGAATTCATCCCCCGGGTGCTCTAGCTCCGAATCACCGTCTGGTTAAACGGTCCTCTAATGCATCCAGGAATCGCGTCCGGGTTTCTTCCTCTTCTTGGCGGGCGCAGACGCGATTAGTAGGAACCCGATGTATTAAATTACGGGCGCGTTAATCTCCCGTGAACGCTCGTTGCGATTACGATTCCATCTCGTTTGAGCATAACGGCGCCCGGCAAGGGGATGGGATCCGTCGCGGCGTGGCGGGTGTCGGACGCTGAGATTCCGCTCCGTATTGCCGATTATCGATAGGCCGAGCTTAACGGTATCGAACGATTCCATTTCCGGCGAAACCCTCCCCTAAATCCCGCGCCGAGGAGCTCCTCTCTGTCCCTCTCCCTTTTTGTCAACGACGCGACGCGTTAGGACTTCCCAAGGATGCTCCGCTTAACGAGCTCGATCCAGCCTCCGCCTCTCCGAGGGATCCGCGCGAGTCGATTCCCTTTCCCGTGAATTTTCCGAAGTGATGATTGATACGAGAAGAAGCGTATCAATTTCCAACATTCGAATTCTGCCGAGAATCTCCCTTCGATAAAACTTTCTTTCAAATTTTTATAAAACTGTCAGCGGAGCTCTCTTTCTCTTCCCGAGAGCGGAATACGTCCGCGAAATGTCGATCACGTTCGCGAGACATTTTTCTTTTTCCATTTTCTGCGCGGCGCCCTTTCCCGCGTTTTTCCTCTCGAGAGGGGCCGAGAGTCGCCGGGCATGTAGATTTTTTCCTCGGCGTTTCAAGGCATTCTAATGCGGAAACCGTGTAAGGTCCTCTCTCGCGGAGGACAGGTCTCGATTCACGGTTTAACGCGGCGGCGAGAAAGGGGTAAGGAACGAGAGGAAGCTGGCTTAAGGGTAAAAATACCGAGGAATCGGGCCACGATGTATCCGGCGTGCTCGTAAACCCTCCGGATAAGAGAAAGAGTGAGAAGGCAGGGCGCGGGCGGAGAAAGGTGGAGCATAAAGTTTTATCGTTCAATCATATAAGCGACGGGGCGTGAGCAGTGATAGCCACCGATGTGGCCTCGGAGTTTGCGGATATATACGCCGGTATTATGAACGAAAGCGTATTCCGTAAATTGCGCCTGATGAAGGAAGTGCCATTCGTCGGCCGTCATTCGCCGAGACGTCGTCGGGCTTTACACGCGACGAGTCCCCGCTTCCCTTATTTCTCACGAGGGTGGATAAGCGAAATAACCCCTGCTCGGATATACGCCCTCACGTCCCGGTGAAATCATGCGATGGAATAATTTTAAATAATTTCCCGCGCGCGGACGAAACGGCGACCCAGATCGAAAAGGCCTTTCGACGAATCGGTCGTCGAGGACCCCTTTAATCGTGGCTCTCGCCTTTCCGTCCAGGTGTCGTGGGTGCGACATCGCGACATCCACCTGCTCACCCTAGGAGGGTACACCTACACCAGCGACCAGCGTTTCGAAGTCCTGCACGCCCCGCACTCCGAGGAGTGGACTCTAAGGATACGATATCCTCAGAAGAAGGATTCCGGCATCTACGAGTGTCAGATTTCCACCACGCCACCCATTGGCTATCAAGTCAACCTGACGGTCGTGGGTAAGTTTCGAATACCGAAGGGATCGATCCCCCGGATGGACCGAAGCACGACGTGGAAACTGCTCTTCGGCGAATTTCGTGAATTTCATAATTTAAAATTTCAGCCGGATCGTACGTTCGGCACTGCCCCGCGTCGAGCGGCCGCGTGACTCTTCTCGTTCGACTTTGCCCGGCTCTTTCCGTCGACGCGCAGCACCGGAGAATAACGAAATGACAAATGGGCATTTAGTGGCATACCTCTAAAACGGCGTCCCAGCTCCGAAAGGAGTAACTCCGGCATGCATTATGCGGTCGGTTGCCGGAGCTATCCTTTACCGGCGCGAGCGGAATCTTGCCGGATTAATATAAATAATGCTTCGGCAACAATGCCGAAACAACGCCGCTCTCGACGGGGATTCCGGTACTCGAGACGTCTCGTTAATTTCCCGAGAATTCCGCGACTTCCCAAAAATCCCCGAGAAAATATGCCGCGCCATCCTCGATTCCTTCGGGGCCGTTTTCCTTCCGTTTCCTCGGGACGTTTCTTATCCCGTCGGCGTCGTCGTTCCCGTGACTTTGTTCCGAGCCGCGAACGCCGTATTCGCGTTCCAGCCCGTATCGAAAACGAGGGAAATTCTTCCCCGCTTCATTCGGTTTAAAGTTCCTCCATTCGAGTGAACTCCGAGGCTAAGTTTTCACGCCGTGCAGCCGGAGACGTAATCATATTTTGACTTGGAAACGCGATTACGGACGCGCCGTGTTGTGGTTCCGCAAAATTACTTGGCGGGGGTAATTTCGTGAAATCTTGGCCCTCCCTTGTTCCGCTTAAAGTTCCCTTACGGAAGTCAAGACGATAAAAATGGCATCGAGACTTCCGTCAAGCGGCGGAAAGCGAGAGGGAATCTGGCAACGAAACAAATATTGCGTCTTCGCCCCGGCGGCTGCAAAAGTGCCCGACATTTTTACGGATTAACCCGCACGTACGGCCAGTCTTTTGGTAAGTTCGGAGCTCGCCGGGAGCGGACGAGACCCGATGCTCCAATTTGGTCCACACCTCCGGCAATTCGGAGACCGAGGGTGGGAGAGCGGCCAGCGGAAAAGATCCGGAAAAGCAGTCGTCGAGGGAGGGAAAGGGGAGCCGAAGTTCGGAAAGTGAAGACCAGCTGCCCCGGCTGACGGAAGCGATCGTCCTCCTTTTGTTACGGCAAACGGACTAGATCCCGAAACGCCACGTAGATCCCGAAGTCCTGAAAGTTGCGCCGGAGATGGAGAGAGAAATCGAAAAGGAACCCCAGGGACGAGGGAGGGGGAGACGAGGTGGCTGCAAAGAGACGAGGCCCCCCTCTCTTCCTTCAACGGGACCCCGGCCCGGTTACCCTTTTCGGAGCTCTAATAAAGGAGGAAATCCTTCCAGCCCGGAAATACTCGAATCGATTCTCGTTTTGCGAGGCATTCCTCGCGTTCGGGACCCGTCAACCTCCGCGGAAAGAACCGGTCCGGATGGATCGACAAATTGGGCCCTTTCCGTTCCTTGCTTTTTGCGCCGACACGAGAAAACGCCTGGTTCGAAGACCGGAAAACGCTTCTCCCGAAACGTCCCGGTTTCCTCGGGCGAGCAAAGCAAAAATGTCGCGTCTCGATTGTTCCGATCTTTGAGCAGTCGTCATTAGTGGCGAACGTAACGCGCATTATGGTGTCCAACTTCCGAAACGCGTTCACCCTTTCTCGGAGCTCAAACTTGGCTTGTTACCAGAGAGCTTTGTTCTCCAACCTTTGTACCGCGAAGCCAATTTCGCCTTTTGACCACAGGAAGTAACGCAGGCCCGGCGAAGCTTTTGCCTAGAGCTCCGTACCGCGCGGTACAAATTCATTCGCTCCTCCTGCCCCGAGAAGCGCGCGCGTGGCGCCCGACGAGACGAATCTCGATCGATACGAATCGCTGTGCGGGTTGCCGACGCCATGACAAATTTGCCGATTTAACGGCGATCGAAACGAAGAAAATTACTCGGGCGTCGAAATCGAGAACATCGGGTGCGGCCGCTCGCCTGGCTTTGCGCGGTCGAATTTTATATCGCACGCACCAAGAGAGTACTCGCGCGCGGTTCACTAATTCGCAACAAATAACAAGGTGGATAATTGCAGTAAAAACCATACCGGTGGCGTAAAGTTTCATCGGCGCGATATGGCTCCAGAGTCTGGCCAACGGTAAACACGATTTCGGTATCACTCGTCGCGCGCAAACATTTTACCGTCCGACAATACGCGCGACATCGATTCCGCCCAGCGTTCGCGCCAGCCGAGTTAAAAACGGCAAATTAATTCAAGAGGAGGGCTCGAATCGTCCATTAAAGGCCCGCGCCGAGTCGAGAGCGGGCGGCTTGTCGCGCTTCCGCGCCGAAATGCTATCCGCTGCGGGAAATGCGGACGCGGCCGGAAAGAGGACCGAGTTCGCGAAAGCGCAAGAGGAAGCGTTATCGTTAAAGCCAATTCGCCGACAAAAAGTTATGCCAAACCTTTCGATTCGTTAGTATCTGACAATATGGTGTCGAATAATTTGCAACCCTGGTCGGACGCCAGGCGTCTTTTTCGATTTTCGACCGATTTAAGGGAGACATCGGAGGGCAAACGTATTGGCGGTTCTCGGTCAAGTCGGCCCCTTCGATCCGCTATACTTCCAATTTCCGGCGTATTCGTTAGACTATCCAATTTTGGAATGGGTCGGGTCCCGGAATTAGGCGAGAGCTCCTCGAAGACGGTGCTTGTCCATTTAATCTAATGACCCTGTAGTTCCGGAACTTCGGGGAAACCGCCGATAAGTTTCACCGCCACTTGATAGTACCAGTCGGGAACTATCGCGTTCGATTCGATACTTGCAATTCAATTTGTTATCTCCTGGGTGCCTCCGCTCGGGTAAGGCGCTTGCTCCTTATTAACTTGAGTGCGATCACGTCGACCGGAAGTCGCGTATACAAAACGTCGTTCCTAAGCGAGTTGTTTACGGACCGGGACAAGAGTCACGGCGCTTCTCCGGAGCCTTCCCTACGTTTTTATCTCCAATTTCGTTAAAATCCATATTACTTTCCCGCGCTTTTCCCGATGACGGCGGAGCTCGATCGATCTCTCGACGGCTCGTCTTCGCGGAAGACCTCCGGATTGCTCGGGCACGGAGAATGCAACTTCCCAGCAGATTCCGTCCCGCGACTCGTCGCGATTTCCCTCGAACGGTTCTCGTTCCGTAGTTTCCGCAGTTCGGGTGGACGGCGGTTCCGGGGCGAGGGCCCTTCGACGACCGTCCGTCCCTTTCCGCAGGGAACGCGCATCCACCGGGCTTGATCCGGGATAATTTCAATGTCATTAATTCCCATTGTAATAATTCCCGTAATCCCCGAACGCGGGATTACCGTCGGCGCGAATTGGCTCGTCAGGGGCCGCATAAATGGCGGATTGATGCCGCCGTCGTGCCGTTCCGTTTCGAGCTAGAGGCTCCATCGGAGGAGAAAACCACCTCGATTGGATTTCCATTTGCCTGGACCGACGCTACCTGCCACTTGCACGGAATGATTCGTTGGCCGTAATTGCGACGATTCGCGACGCATAAAAAAATCCAGCGCGGTATTAGATCCTTCGGACACTCGATCCAGCTGGACGCGGCTTTACGGAATTCTCGTTTGCCCGATTCGCGGATGCCCGCCAATTACTCGTCCGTCCCGGCAGCATCGCGTAATTCTGCGCGCGAGAATAAAGCAACGGCTCCGGCCAATTGGACGGGATGAAAAATTCGCGACTCGCTTTCCTCGTCGATTGTTTCTCGAGCGTCCTTCCATTTTTGGGGGTTAAAAGGTAAAAGGCACGCGACCGAGGCGGTCGTTTTTCCAATTTCCATGGAGCCTCGTCCTCGTCGAGTGCGCATGCCTGCCGCGATATGCAAAGGGCCGAGATGAAAACGCCCCGCATTGCTCGAATATCGATAGGGTCCATTTTCGGCCGAGAGAGGGAAAACGGACGGAGGACTCGAGGGCTATAAATTTCCACCGAGCAATGGAGCGGGGCGAAGATTATTATCGTCGGAGGAATACCCTGCCCGGTGCCAACCGTGGGGACCCTCCATATCTAAGGGGTTCGGCACGAACGGCTGGTCGCGTGAATCCGGAAAACGCTCGATCCGTCGACGAGGAAACGTCGCTCGGTTCGTCGTTTAATCGCGTGCCAGCGAATCGGGCTGACGTTTACACAGGTGCCCGGTAACTGGTCCACCTCTCCGTCAGGGCGTAACGCCTCTGTACGTCCTCGCGTCCGTTTAACGCAGACCACGGTCGTGCGGTACGTCCGTCGCGCTAAGTTACCCCATTATCGCGCTTACGAATTACCCATGCGGGCCTCTAACGTCGCACTCTTGTTGCCCCCATTGCATAGAAGTGACCCCCATTCAATCTCAATTTGCAGCTCGGCCTGGTATATGTGTCGGCTAGGTACGGTAGATCACAATTTGGCCCCCGCAAGGATACAAGAGATACGCTGCAGGCGTTGCACCGATGCATGAAGGCATACGGGCCGCGAGTACATGCATGGAGTGCATTCAAAGCACCGCTTCGAGTATTCCGGATAAATCCGAGGGATATATCGAAGGCGCGCGTCCGCCTTTCCCGTTCCGACCCTCCCCCGTTCCCGGGGAATCTGGCGCAACGTCCAGGAACGACGAACGAAGCCGGAAAGTCGTAAACGTCTCGAGGAGCGACTTTAATTTTTCCAAATTTACTTCCGTCGATCTCAATTCCGATCGGAGCTGGTCCTCGGCAGGAGTAGATCACGGTTTACTCTGGAAGGGGTGGAAGAATGGGGTCCTGCAGGCGTTGCACCGATAAATAAACTCGGGCGAGCCGCGAGTCCGTGTACGGGGGTGCATTCAAAGCACCTCTTCGACCGTTCGGGATAAATCCGAGGGATAAACTCTACACCCCCAAGCACTCCTTCCGCGGAAGCTCGCACGCGTTCCCGGGACACGTTGCCGGAAAGCTCCGTCTGTCGGGAGAGCCGGAGGACGGTGCGAGGGAGTGCTCCTTAAAATTTAACGCCGAAAGCTCGGGAGCGGACCGACCGTTCCGCGGAACTTTGTGACCGATCGCCTTGACACCCCGAGAGGACGTCGGCCCGCTGGGGAAACTCCAGGGGAAAATGGGGATTTATTTATCCGCGCGGCCCGCGATAACCCCGGTCGTTACTTTCGCGTAATACGCCGAGTGCACGGCGCGGTCCGCTCCCGAAAATACTGCAACACTTTCAGAAAGATTGAATTCACGTTTTACCCCGGGGACGTCGGCCGTATGCACCGACGGTCCCCCGTTGATTTCCTAGCCCCAACGATGCGCGGATTCGCGTACAACTGAAATTGGAAAGAATTTACTACGTTAAGTGCCACGATGGTTGGCCGGAAACTCGTTTTGCCAGGAAATACGTAGTATTCCCGGGCCGCGTATAGAGATATACGCGTACGCCTCCGCTCGCTTGCCAACTTCTGGCGCGATATCAAGCGGAAGTAACGACCCGGTCAACGTTTATGGGCACCGGGTGCTTAAATCGCGACGGCTCCAAGATGCCGAGGAGGAGGACCGGCCGACGCCCCGAAGCATTCGATGCGCGGAGTCGACTCGTTCCAGCGACCTAACGCCGGTTATCCTTTCTCCTCTTACAGAACCGATCACGGAGATCGTCGGCGGGCCGGACCTCTTCATCAACAAGGGAAGTACGATCAACCTGACGTGTCTCGTGAAATACGCCCCCGAGCCCCCGACCGCCATGATCTGGAGCCAAAATCAACAGGTGAGACCGCGGGTCCCGTCGCGATCAAACCCCGTTCTTCGTTTCGGGATATATTATTCCACCGCGGGTGCCCCTCTTTGGACTCGTTCTCCTGGACGAACCCGGCAAAAGCCTTCGCTCGCCCCGAGAAACAGGCCCGGGTCGCGGAGCCTCCCTTGGCGGGAGGAGAGCTCGATCGCGGGGGGCTTCGCGAAGCTCTTCGGACGGAAATTAAGTCTCGGCAGAGGAAGGGATTATTGTCCTCTCCTGGAGATTTACGAGTCGTCGTCATCGCGTGCTCGGGAGCATTTCCCGAAGACCGTGAAAGGCTCGATCGGGGAGCGGGCTCGTAACGAGCGATTTAAAAGTCGCTTCGGAGTTACACGCGCCTCCCCGAAGAGGATCCCGACTCTCTCGAAGCACCCTTTCGCTCGAGCCTTGGGCATCCGCCGGACGTAAACGGGACGCGGGGATCTCTCTCTCCTTCTTCGTTATTCGCAGGCGATTAACTTCGACTCGCCCCGAGGAGGCATCAGCCTGGTCACGGAGAAGGGACCCGTCACCTCGAGCTACCTCCTCATCCAGAAGGCCATCCAGAAGGACTCGGGCCTCTACACTTGCTCGCCCAGCAACGCGAACCCCAAGAACGTCACGGTGCACATCCTCAACGGTAAGGAAGCGCCGACGATTTCCGGAGGTCGCAAAAACGACCGGTCGTTTTCCCGAAATCGCGCGCGACGGCCTTGGCAAGCGTCCCCCGGTCGAACGACGTCGCCGTCACGACGTCCCGAAGAGGGCCGCCGTGAAACGGCATTATAGCGCGGTATTTGTTTCAGAAGAACACCCAGCGGCGATGCATCACGGTGCCGGTGACAGAACGACAGCGACGCTGCTTCCGGTCGTCCTACTTCTTCGGACGATGTTCTAGCTGGAACGAGGGGTGGACCGGCGAACGCGATTGGCCTCCCTCCGCCGGGGAGCTCGAGAGGGATAAGGCGCTATCCTTTTAATCCCTCGAACCTCGAATCGAGGCCGCACTTATATCAGCCAGAGACCCGGGCGACGAGGAAAAGCGGAAAACCAACGAAACGGCGTCCCGGGGTGAACGAAGGGCGGGACGTTCTTAAGTGACCCTTGAGAATTTTTTATACCGAATCGAGATAGAATAAAAGTCGCGCTCTAGGCATCGGACGGTGATATTTTAATAACGCGTCGTCTAGGGATGGCCCTAGGGGGCCGAGAGTCGTTTAGTGCAAACCCATTGTAAATAAGTTGCGCCATTCTTGTACATATCACTCGATTGCGTAGCCGGTAGGGCATGCCGATGCCCGACGACGGGGTGAGCGTCTCCGCGGAGCCGATCTCGGACGCCGGAAGGGCGTCAAAAACACAACCGACTCCGATTCGGGCTCCTCACGACCGTGACTCGACAAATCTGGGAACGCTCCGGGAAATCCGAACCCCGGAGTCGATTAACATCGGATAAAGTTTTCGGTCGCGACGCCGAAACGCATCCAAGAGTTCTCGCCGTCTTCGAGTTTCTTTTAGCTGCAGCTGCAACTCTTCGCCCGGATTTATTTAGGAACTCCCGCGAAGAGGCCCCCCCGTTTCTCTGCGGTGGCGCGAGGGCGATTCGCCGATAATCGAAGTATCGGCCGTTTCCACGGTAACTTTGGATACGGACGCGATTAGCTCCGACAAGTGTACAGAAATATTTTATATTCGTAAGGTAAGTCTCGACTCTCCTCGAGAGCACAGCCCCTAAATTTCACGTACCCGTGGCACTGAATTACAACGACAAAAGGGCAAGTTACCCTTGCTACTCTCGTTTCTATCCCAACCACGTTGCCGGCGCGAATTGCCCCCGGAAGCCGTGTCGGCTCCCGCTCTTACGACCGCGTCGTCCAGAGGAGGAAGCATAACCGTAATGAAGTAAAACTCGGAGAGGAGCTCGTCCGGCGGATGCCTAAAACGTTTTCCAAACTGCTACGCTTGTTGTTGAATGTCGGCAGTGGATGCATTCTGGATGTACCCGATAACGATAGGGACTACTCGAAACGATATATAACAAATAAATATATTTCATAGCACTGTGCATTGTTCGTCGCGCGTCGACTCGACCCGCGATCGCTTATTTCTTTCCCTCCCTATCCTCCCTTGGAGGCGCTTTTCGGAGCTCCTGTCTTTCTGGCTCCATTAGGAGGTTACGGCCCGAGCTTAAAGACGGACCTCCGTCCGGGACGCGGGGACTCCGATAACCGGTAAAAATGTTCCAACGGGTACGTCCAACGCGCGAACCGAGAATTAATTGCGACCCCGTTAAGTTACCCGGAGCAGGGCGCATTACCGCGGCCCGATGTCCTCCTCCCCCTAGAAGCCCCGTTCGTGACGCACCGCCGTGAATATTGCTCTAATACAATTTCAACTCTAAATGAAGTATTATTTTTAGAAAGCCCTCGCCTCCGGGTCCCTAGTTAAAGTGCTCCCTCGAAAAGGTAGCCGTCCGCGCGGCCCTACCGCCGGCCGGGAAACTTTACGAGAGAGCGCTTCGGTTACAGCGCGAGCCCGATCGTCTTTGGAGAACGAGCCCCGTTCCCTTCCGAGTCGCCGTAAAACCGTCCGCCTTCCCTCCCGCATGGGCTACTTTTTACGCGGGCGCCATCGGCCGATTAATTCGTTTCCCCTTCCGGGCCACGCGTCCCCCGAGGAATCCTTTCATCTTTTTTGAGGGATTTATAGGCACGCGGGTGCTCAAGGATACACGTCGCGTTCGAAATCTAACTTGCAAACTTCGGTGCAGGCAGGTGGGCGCGGGGCGCTTACTTACGAGGTCCGACATCCAAAATTTATCTCGCGTATTTTCTCCGGTTTTCTCCCCGCGCGAGACACCGAACCGCGTCTTTGAATAAAGCCTCGCGGAGCCTGGTGGTATTTCCGTACAAGTTCTCCCGGAAGGGAGAAAAACCTTTTTCCTTACGCCGTCCGGAGCGTCGCGGTGCAAGAAACGCGAGACGCGCGTCGGCCCGGAATTGTTCCGCGACACGTCACTAGTTATTCCGCGCACCATTGTTCCGAATAAACGAACAAACAATGACTTTCATTGTACGGGGAAGCCGACGTAAAAACGCTTCTTTTCCCCGGGTGGAAACAATACCCTTAGACGAGGGCTCCCCGAGTCCCCCGGCCCTCCTCCTTCTTTACCGAGGAACTTTCCCGGGGGAGCGTATTTTCGGACCGCGAGGAAATTACGCGCCTTTCGGAGAACTCGCAATTCCTCCCCGCGCCGAACCGAAATCGTGGTCGAAAAAATTCGTTATTACGACTTCCCGGGATCGCCACGGTTTTACTCAGCCTCTGTATTTTAATGGAATTACGTCAAGTCGGGAACGTTCTGAAATTTCACCCTTTGCACTTTCCTCCCTCTTCCTTTTCCTGCCGTCTTCCGGCCCTCGCGAACGTATAATTATGTGTACCAAACCCACGTTGAAGTGAAAAAAGAACTGGCAAAGGAAAGTGAGCAATTAGAATTTGGGTTTAATGAGTGTGCATAAGCCATGTTATTTCAGCTTGAAATTCTTGTTGACTCGAGTTGTCTCCGTTTTCCCTGAAAGTTCCCCCGCGAGCTACGGATGTCATAATTGTTACGTTATAATATTCCCCTGTCGAACGTCGCGATAAAATATTCGTTATTTCTCCTTTCCTCGAAGACCTCGTTGAGTAACTTATCCCCCTTTCTTCTCCACTACTCTATTTCTCCATCTTCCCGATTCGTGGCCGAACAATTATGCATACCAACGTTTTATCGAAAGGGAAGCGAGAAATTGGCCGAAACATGAGAGTTAACGAGCGTCGTGTTTTTCTGCCTTGATTTCGGTTTTCTTCGGGCCACCATTACGGTTTTTAAGAAGGGTCTCGAGCCACGTTACAAAATTCCACTGCCAACGCTTTTGATATGGTTCCACTATCTATCCGAGGTCGATTAATTCCGTCGCGCCATTTAGTCGTACAACTCGGCGAGTCTCTCGCGAAAGCTGTCCCTCCACCGAATTGCATTTTCATCAGGCAAAATGGCCGGGATGTCTGGCTTAATTGTTTTATGGAAGCATCGAGCTAAGTGGAACATGCCTCCTTGGCGAGTCGGGTCCCGAGGGAGTGGGAGAAAAATTGCAGCCTCTGTCGCGGGTTAAGGAAGGAAGAGAGAGCGAGGAGGTGACAGACGGGAAAAAGTGGATGGAAGCCACGCGGAAGAGAACGGAGAAAATAAGGGAAAATTGCCGGAGGTTACGTATGACTTCCTCATAGAGACGCATCGGTGCCCCGGCGAGATACATTCCGCGTCCCGGAGGTACGCGCTCGATGGCGGGGGTGATTAATATTAATATCACAAAGGCGAGGGGCGATGCGGATTCCCTCGACGCGGGGCCAAAGCGCAGTCGGCCGAGCGAGGCAAGTGCGCTTTAATTAATACGTCACTCAGATCCCGCTAATTATTTTTCAGGACGTCGGGAGGCTTCTCCATTTTTCACCTTCCTCGGCCTCCGGATCGAGCTCCTATCCCTTCCCCGACCGCGTTCGTCCCGGGGAGACTTAAATATTTTTAATAACGCCCCTAACTTTTAATCGTACCCGTAATTCTTAATTGCCCCATTAAACTTCCGCGTAAATTCGAAAAGCTTTCGGCGAATTTCCGGCGGGATATTAACGGCCCCGCGGTGGAGCCGGCAAATCAAAGCCGAAAGTAAATGCCTTTGGGCATAATGCACGCCGCGCCGAATTACCGAACGCGTAATTCTATCACCAAGATTCGATGGTACCGCCTTTCGTGCCGCATGGAACCCATAACGAGACCGGACGGGGCCGGGCTCTGCAAACAGCGGGCCAACGAAACGTCGGCGTTGCACGCAAAGTGTGTAAATTCGCCGAGGTCCGCATCAAGCTATGCATAAATCTGATTGATCAACGGTTCAATTATCGGTGGGTTTCGATAGGATCTGACAATATATGGCGGATCAAACGGCATAGTATATTAGCCGGTTAGTGCGGGGTTAATACCGAGGGTCGGTCATCGCAGGGCGATATATCCACCGCGTATGCCGCGTCCAGGCGTTCCTGCTTCGTGTCACGAAATCCCACCGGTTAACGTTTCCATCGATCGCTCCTTCCGAGCATTTTCGCTCCGGGTGCTTTTTCGATCGCGAGATTACGTCCTTACGCCCGAAGCATCGGCGTCTCGACTCCGGCGACGAGCGCAGGGACACCGCAGACCTCCGAAACGACTGCCGAAGGCGATCGAATTTAGAGAAGTCGCGATCCCGGCGAATATATGCACGAAGCGCGACGAGGGCGGTCTCATTTGTTAGAGAAGCCCGCAGAAGGTACCCCCTTTCGGAGAAATTGGCCCTCGAACAAATGGGGGTTGCGGCTTAAGGGGTGCCATCCTTAAGTGGACCGTCATTTGCGATTTGCCATCTCGATTTCCTCTCCTTCCTGCTCCCCTCGAATCGTTTCGGAAGAAATCCGGCGTCTCCATCGTTTCCTTCGCGTGGTCGCGCCCCCGACGATCCTGTCCCCTTTTCGGCTAAATAAATACATTTCCTCCCTCTCCGCTTCCCTCTTCCGAGCAGCCGCGTCCTCGATAGCTGATTACGCCCGTTAACGTCCTCGTTACCTACGTCGAGAGTTCTCATTTCCGAAACTCGTTATTACGCGTGCACCTGGGACCACCGCGGCGCATATCCTAGGGGAAGAAAAAGAATCTCGAAGAAGCTAACGACTCGGAGTTCTCCCGGGAACGTCCTTTTAAAGATAAGTCCGAGAAACCGCGCGTTTCGCTCGTGTGCGTTCCTCTTGAAGATGATCGAACCCGACTCCCGGTAATGGCGGCCGGTGCACATGGATGCACCCGCCCTGCAATGGAACCGGACAGTCGTGGTCACCGGTGATCAGATTATGGGATATAATGCCGTGGGCATATATCGTAAAGCCTGGGTTGCAGCTGAGGACACCCAAGAACTCGCAGCGGACCGTGGCAAATATTATCCAACCGACTCGAAGCAAGACGACGATTAAGGGCATTTTCCATCCGTACGACCCTCGGAACGTTACGCCGAGGGGCGGGTGCGTGCGCCCCGTGACGCAACTCGTCAAAAATTTATCGATCATAGAGCCCGCCCGAAGACCTTGCATTGTATAATGCGCGGGGAAATAGCTCCCGTGTAGAAGCTGCGTTATTGCCCCATTTATTGCGCGCTGCGTGCCGCATTCTTATGCGCTTTTACGCGCGATAGATTCCGCCCGGAGAAGCGCGGGCACCCCTCCGGAATTTCCATGGAAAATCTATGCATCGCGTGGTCGGGCCGCGGCGCGAGGAACAACCAGAAAAGTCGAAATCTACGGGAATTAAGGAAACCGTAAAACAGGTGTCGACGGGGCATTCGTTTCCCCGGAGATAGCGCCGTTTCCTTTCTCCGAGGAGATAACGTCGCTTAACAATCGCGCCGGGCTCCGCTATCTCGAAGGCTCGTGGCACATGTCCCAGACGTACGGCCTTACGACGCAGTTATGCGAATCATTTTTCACGAACCTTAAAATGTGCCAGCGAATTCCGCTCTGGAAGATGTGCTCGCAAGAATCTGGAGCAAGTCGATAAAGGGGTGGCGTAAATCAGGAAGTGCAGCCGTGGCTGGAAGGGGAATTCCCTCTGTGAAAGGTCTCAAATTCAACCGACACTCGGCAATGGAACGAAGCGTCCAATTCTTGGGAGGCCCGAGATCGGTTCCGATTCTCGCCAGTTTACGGCGAACCCTTCACCCCGCCCGAGAACAAAGTTGCTCCCGCTCGGGGCGAATCGCCCAAAGGAGGGAAGGCGCGATCTCGGAGAACCCGCGAGAGGACTTTGATCTATCGGTCAAGGGGCCAGTTAACTCGCGTAATGCACCGCTCCCGGTGCCGGATGAATCTCGCCGTCTTATATTTTTCACGTCTTGCCGGCTCAAAGGCTTCGTCTCTCCGTTTCTCCCTGAGAATTTCCCGA